CATTTGAAATTTTTGAGAAAAATTCATAAAATGGCATTCTTTTGAAATAACACCATCTACAGGTTTCCATATTGAGATAAATGACATTATTTATTTATTTATATATTTATTTATTTATTTATTTATTTATTTATTTATTTATTTATTTATTTATTTATTTATTTATTTATTTATTTTGAAGTTACAATATCCAACGGGACAAAGTCCCAATTATAGGATAAGGTAAAACAGAAAACCTTAAATAAATTTTAATAGAAAAAGACAAACTAACATTAAATATAAAAATATAAATACTACATAACATAGAGCAGTCAAAATATAAAATCCAGACAAAAAACTTAAGGATAAACAATAATAAATAAGCTATTTAGTAAGTTGGTACGAGGTGTGGGTAATTGTAAAACGGAGTGAAATCTAGAATTAAGTCTAGGAACATGATATAAAATCCTTGAGACTAACGAGTCTGCATTTAACGTGTTATTTATGATTTTAAAAAGGAATATAATTGAAAACATAATTCGCCTACGACAGAAACTATTAAAATTAAAACAAGAAAGCAATAAATCTTGAGATTTACCACGAGGAGGATAAAATCCATAACTAATAAAATGAATAGTCTTTAAAAATCTCCGTTGTACTTTCTCTAAATGAATATTATAGATATTATAAATGGGACTCCAAACAACCGATGCATATTCAAATTTGCAACGCACAAATACTGCATACAATATATTTAGAACCTTTAAAGCTTCAGCAATAAATTGGGTTTTCTCAACTAGATTTGAGGTAGTTTCACAAAGAAATAAAGCATGAAAAGACCTTTCCAACGAGGTATGACACTGTGGGCTTTTGATGAGCCAATCCTTAAAAAATGCATTTTTCTGACCAGACATTAGGGGCTTCCCCCACCCTTTCTGTCGAGAGATTAGATCAAAATGTCAATAACAAAAGTTATATTATATTTCTATGTTTTGGTAGGTAGATTGCGCCCCCTAGTGGCCGAGCTACGAACTTGAAAACTGTTTTCAGCGATTTCTCTTATCAGATTTATTAAGCAAATTTTTTTCCCGGAGCTCTAGGGCCTATACATTCTCTAATACCGTACCTCGCCGACCTTAGTGGGACACCCTGTACATTATAACCACGTGTACAATTCGCAATGTACATAAATCCATTGAAAATCATTGTTTAAAAAGGAATAATTAGGGAGATATTTTTTTATAATCCGTCCATTCTCATTATTCAAACTACTTTACTTTATATCTTTGACGCCACAAGTCAATATGTTTTTAACTATTTGAAATAAATTCGTAAATACTCAATTACATCTATTTACGAGACACTTTTTATTGTCTATCTCCACCTATGCTCTGTCAAATATATAAATTTCCACGTTAAATTCTTAACAAATTGTGTCGTTTATTGTAAAAATGTCTGTACTTTCCACTAGTCAAATAGTGAAAAAAGTATATAGGCACATAGTTCCCTTTTTTATCGAAATCTGCAAAAGACGCAAAATATTTTATCAGACATTTGCAGGCTTGCGGGATCAAGCCTTCGTATTCCCATCTAATATCATAACTTTTACAAAAACCCTCCGAGCATGTTTGATCCGCCTTTCATTTTCCGGGTGTACAATGCTTCTAACAATACTTTTCAAAATAGATCCTTAACCTGTCTTAAGGATACATCCATTCATATAATTCTCACACACCATTTTCTCATCTATAGTTCCATGTAATAACTGGTAAGGATTCAGATATAATGTTATAAAAGAGTCTCGTCTAAGCGGAAGTAATATTTCAGATAAAATCATACGGAAACCTGTATCTGTTGTTCGTCTTAGATTAATTAGTTGCAGTGAAACTGATTTATTAACAGCAATTCGTGAAAATAATGACAACTGTCATAGTTGCACAGGACCGTAACCACTTCTCCTAAAATTTCTTCCTATGCTTTGACCATGATGTGTCTCGTAATTTATACTCGAATAGCAATTCGGCGAGTATATATTTCATTTAAAAGTGTTGGTCAAACATTCCATGTTTATGCCAGATTGACATGTTTTCCTGAAAATCACGGGAACTTACCACTGTTGAATTTTCCTCGTAGTCAAATCTTGGGAGACTTGTCAAACTTAAGCTGCACGCAAAGTTACAGCTTGCTGGTAATCATTTTTTTCTTTGTAGGTGGACCCGTGGGCTAAAAAAGGAAACGGAAAAATACAACCAAGGCAACTTTGCAAGATTTCCAATAATATCAAAATGAACTGATTAAGAAATTTGAAAAAATAAAACCTAATCTTTATTTCATGAACCATAAAGAACTGTGCGAGCAGATAAAATGTTATACACCACGCATCAGTTAAGCATAATTTACCAGTCTCGGACCCCATTGTTATTTAGTTTCTGACAAATAAATATCTACTAGAAAAATTTTCAAGAGACAAAATGTTTTAACAAATCCTTCATCTTTAAAACACAAACATTTCGTTACTTCGTTAATTACAAGCTATTTGAACATTTATTATTTCTGATTTATTACATTATATCCGCAATGTAAAATCAGTACATGAAAACGAATACTTTCGTCCGATTTCCAGGTAGCTGCTTGCAAATGCATGTATTCATGAATTTCAAACACGGGCCCCATGTGTAGCAATAAAAATTCGAAATATATATTAATGTTTAATATTCCTAGCTCTCTAGGTAAGGCATTTTCTTATAGGACAAGGCCTTGCATCTATCTATGTAATATTTCAAATATTTCAGTAAAAATTCAACAGACACGTACACATTTTGGTCACGAAGCTTGAGGTTTTACATATTTATATACCGTCGTTTTTATTAAAATATTAATGATTGACTGGGAGGGAGTCTTTAAATTGGCATGATAGCTTCAATATCAAGATCTGAAAGATATATGGCAGCAGGAAAATATGTATAACTTTCAAAATAGAAGGGAACGTTATAAATCTTATTTTCACTTCTAAATTTATAAACAGCAGATGTAAGTGCATAGGTATATTGCTTTAAAAGTACTCCGCTTTCAAAGTTTTCTTATAAAGTTGAGAAAATCCGAAGTTTATAATAAAACGACTGTTCTAGCAAAATTGAACGGTGTCGCAATAACGTTGAGTTTAGCCTGTTGAAATACTTTGAGATTTGGTACTATTATTGTAAGACAAACGACGATTTCTCTACAGAAATAAGTTCAATATGTTTCTATAATCATGTATTCATCTTGAGATCACTTTGTCTAAATGACATGGATCTGTGCTACACAAATTACCATCAATAAGTTTTTATTAATTTCTTTACATTGTAAGGCAAACTACATCAACAAAAAATAAGCCGTCTGGGAACTTTCAACGAAAACGCTGTCTAAACCCTTTGAGATACAACAAAATAATGTATGGTGGAATTGTGTATCTTATATAGGTCTACAGAAAAGTCCGCGATGGCACATGTCTATCTCTTAAGATAACATACTATATCCATCTTAATACTTTAAAAAATGGGCAATTATAAAGCGGTAATTGAAAAGCTATTTACACAAATATGGTATTAATCCTTATCATTTTAAATAAGTTAGAGGCCTTAAGCATTTCATGCACATTATTTTACTCTTTTACACCTTCTAATTTAAATTAGGAGTAATCGCAAAAAAAATACGGACGCGAGAATAAAATTCAAGCGCCTTGCTTCGCTTGATGCGATCGCCGACCCTCCCCCCGCACCGTCTTGCCTACTGTTTAGCTAATAAGTCGAACGATAACGCGCGCGTGATCCTTTATAAATTGACTTGGAGCGAATGGAGGTGACGACTGACGGCTGTGTTTTCTTTCTGGGTGTTGTTGGAAAGTTATAATTGCGTTCGATATTTTAAGGTCACATTTTTGTTTTGTATTTGTTGTCTTTAGGTAGTCGGAACATACATAGATACTTGCAAACATACTTTTATTTCATTGAGTTTTAATAATTTGTTTGTTTTTTTCTTATTGTGAATCATTTAAAACTTCATAGTCGCATTTTTGTTTCGTGTTTGTTTTCTTTAAGTAGTTAGATACCTAACTACTTACTTATTAATTAAAATTGATAGTCCTGAACATAGGTACTTTAATTTAATTCGTTTTGTTTTCACATTGTTGGTAGTTACTTATATTGTTTTAAATTTAAAGGTTTTGCATTTTTAGTTTTGAGTTTGTTTGTTGTCTTTAGGTACCTATATAGATATATCGTGAATTATTTTAAAATTAATATTAGGGTCGCATTAGATGAAAGATGATTGATTTTTTGTTTGTTACGATTTAACTCAAAAACTACTCAACCAATTTTACCGAAAGCTACATCTCCTCGGAGTAACATAGGCTATTTTATATTTGCCCGTGCGAAGCCGGGGCGGGTTGCTAGTTAGTGATAAAATAAACATATTTAAGTAGTTGCTGTTTTTTCCCCCACACAACGCTGAAAACGAATGCGCTGTCGTTAAAAAATATTTCTTTGGGATAGACAAAAGAAATACCGAACCACCTCCTGGCAAAATATGTTCCTCGTTATTAAAATTAAAATCATCCTGACGTTTATTCTGAGAACAAAGATACGTTTTGTGCAATTAATTTTATTTGAGTTTGAACAAAACCTGTCGATGAAAAATATTTTACAATTGATCAGTTTTAACTTATAGCTGTCTACACTCAAATAACTTATTACATCATAAATTTTTTCCCTAGTCATATGCAGGATGTTTGTTCACAGGGTAACCTATTATTTTAGCGTTACTTAACTTAATTTGAAAAAAATAATTCCTTCATTCGTTATTTCCGCTTCGCTCAGATTTTTAACCAAGAAAATAAAGCCTTTCTAGAATTTGTACCTAAAAAATATTTAAATGTAGGTATTTTATTTTAACTCGAGGTATTGGTATTTTAAGTTGTATGACAAGATATCAATGAACGAATCAAATTCTGACAATTTTTTTATCTGTTTCCTTAATTTCAGAGCCCAGAGTCCTGCACACACCGTGCGATGGGAACAGGTACAAAAGGAAATCGCCGCGACCGGTTCTTATCAACTGACGGAGACAGAGCTCATCTACGGTGCCAAGTTGGCCTGGAGGAACTCGGCAAGGTGTATCGGCAGGATTCAGTGGTCCAAGCTCCAGGTAAGTGAATCTTAAACAAAAAACAAATTTAAATTTTGCAAGCAAAAAAAATGCGCCTGTATTACAGCAAAACGTCTACAGCAAAAAAACTTGGCAATTGATAGCTAAATTTCCTAAAATTTTGATAAAGTAAAGCAGTCATATGCTATTTTGGGGCAAGTTTTAGAATTTTGGGGAGTTTATTAGGCAATTACACAATAATTTAACCTAAAATACCATAACAATTAAATTTCTATGTTTTTGTCATTTTGTGTTTAAGTTTTTTAAGTATTCCGCTGCCTTGTCTTGCATTTTTTATATACAGGGTGTTATATAAGTGCGTGGCCAAACTTCAAGGGGTGATTATTTAAGTGATTCTAAGACGAAATAGATCAGGTCAAGTATTGTTTTTATATGTTTTATACATATAGGGTGTCAAACAAAAAAAATAGTTTTTTCGTAAAAACCTTAATAATACTTTAGACGATTTTGTTGAAATTTGGCAGTATTATTATGGTAGAAAAGGGCTAATTTAGCCCTAATTATATTGCCCGGGAGGCACCTTAACCAATAATTTTAACAAAAAAATTTGCGCCACTGACTTTTTTAAATCTTTTAAATTTTTTTTCGCATTACGCAACAAAAAATGTAACTGTTTTGTCTCTTGGTTTTTTTCGTATCTTGCTGCCTTCTTGAAGAAAAAATATAAAAATCACTTTATTGCATGTCCATGTAGGTACAACAAAAAAAACATATTTTAATAACTAATAAAACACAAAAAATTTTTTTAGCTAGCATTAATTTTTATTTACAATTTCTTAGACTAGAATAAACTATTGGTATGGAAAAAAGAACGGGTACACCCCAGTTTTTGATAATTTGTTAGTTTTAATATTTTTTTATGTTGTTCGGGAGACAAAAAAGTTGTATTTTTAGTTGCTTACAGCTAAAAAATTATAAAAATTTTAAAGTCAGTGGGGCACATTTTTTTTCGTCAAAAATATGGATAAGGTGCCCCCGGGACAAAATTGGCTAAAGGATTAAGATTTTTATGAAAAAAATTTTTTTTTTAAAGTTTGACAACTATGATTATATAAACTTTTCGTATTAGAATGACTCAAAGAATCACCCCTTGAAGTTTGGCAACGTACGTAAATAACACCCTGTATGTTTAGGTGCTATTTACATTAAAAGATTATCAAAATTTAAATGTCTAGTATCTTAAATTAAAATTTGAGATTATTGTTAAATAAACTGTTCAAAATAATTTTTTATATTGATCTATGCGAAAAAATGGATACATCAATAAAATAAACATTTCAATAATATTTGCCTTGAGTTTCTTTTAACGAAACATAAACCTATTGTTTACACCTTATAAAAATATATCTTCTATTTCAATGTTGGTAGTACGGAATTTGCCTCAAAATGGAGGGACATTGCAATTTTTTTAATCTGGAGACTTTATTATTGATTAAAGTCCCTTGATGAACCTAATTATTGTTCTTGTTTGCTCCAAAATGGTGATTTAACGAAATGTCAATTTATAATAGAAACTTTTTTTTTAATTTACTTGTAATATAGATAAAAATATTAAGGTGTTGCCCAATGAATTGTTCAAAATATGCAAAATAAATTAACTGTAAAAAATATCATTGAAAATCAAACTTATATTGCAAGATTTGTTGCAATAGAGATTTTGCCCCAAAATGGCAATTCATCTACATTAGAACAAAACAGGAGATGTTGCTTTCCAAATTTTACATTAAATAAATATAAATCTAACTAACGCTTGCATAAAAAGCTAAATAGGCCTTTAAATTTAAAGTAGCTTTGCCTAAAACAGTATATTATTATGGTAATTAATCTAACTTTACTTTGGTGTGATTATAAAACCTGATGTAAATAACATTACGTTTGAAATTAAAACTGATTACCTTTCCGGAAACATACAAATACATACAACAAAATAAAAATCTTGTTTTGCGTCACGGGTTATTTCTCGTACAAGTGCCTGTTGCAAGTGACGTGTAGCTTTGTGTGATGGAGAGGATATGATTATCAAAAGCAGGTTTTATATAAGCGATGGACAATGCTTAACACTTAACTACTTAACGGGTGTATCATGATGTAAATGTTGATGGAAACACAGACATAAGTACATCCGCAAAGTAAAAATAAGTTTCCACATGTACTTTTTTGTATTATCCTGGATTCTCTAGTATACAGTTTAATTAACTTACGTAGAAATCTCGGAAAAAGTGAGAGATAGGTACTAAGTTGATTGTTTAAATTCAATTTGCAGAAATTATGTAAAATTATGATGCGACGTACTACTAAAACCTGGAGTTGAAGTGTCATTGTAAAGAATCCTGTTGGCTATTTCATTTTTATTACTTAAACTGTCAGCAACATAACTTTCTGCAATTGTGGCTGATTTCCAACCACCACGTCTCTTGATTGCTAATACATTAACTCCTGTATTAGCCAGTAACGTTGCCGATGTTCTTCGGAATGAATGGACTGTATATGTTTCAGGATGTTCCAGTTTGAAAAACTATGCAATCTTATCAGGAATCATAGAAAAGGTATTCTTGCCGACTGGTTGGTTGTAACATCTACCTGCTTGATAGCGCATAAAAAAGCGTGAAATTTCAGTATTAATTTCCAATCTAATCTTGATATATTTCTTGAGAATTTCTAGGTGAGAAACAGAACCCAGACGAGAAGTAATTGTAAACCTACGTGACATACCATTTTTAGAATCTGGAATTGTAACTATAATAATGTCATCGACATTTTTGAAATTGACGTTGTCCAAAGTAAGTCTGCATAACTCTTCAGAACGGCGTGCTCCTACAATGCCTAAGACTACACTACTACCGCTACCTTCATTAGCAAATATGTCATCGGGTGCAACTTTTACGTAGTTTTGTTTATAAACACCTTAGAAACGACAAAATCCTAACAACCAATGCGATTTTGCAAGATTTCAAATAATGTCAAAATGAATTAATTGATTAAGAAATGTCACAAAAAAACCTAATATTTATTTCATCAACCATAAAGAACTGTAGGAGCAGATAAAATGTTATACATCACGCAGCAGTTAAGTATAATTTACCAGTCTCGGACTCTATTGCCAGCCCTCGCTCCGCTCGGGCGCAAAATCGTCCTCGACTGATAAATAACTATATCAGCGGAACATCCCCATTTTCAAACAATATGGCCAGAATTTTCACACACGGATGGATTTTCAAGCAAAAATATATGTTTGATTTCATTCCATATCCACATCATAACCTACAACAAGTAAATTATGTTTTATGCACGATTTTCATGTTACATTTGATAGTATTATCATCTTTCAGCAATTTATAGAACATCTAGTTCCGCTTGGTTTAAAGCTTCCTCCTTTATTTTTCTCTTTGGAAGCACTATCCAATTCTATCGCAATAATTAGGCTGCAACCACTTCCACATCTTCGTCCATAACTCACAGCTGCAGTCGAGGACCCATTTTTCACGCTACAATAAAAATTGCAATCTTTCATACCCGCCTGATGAAAATTTATGTTGCCGCAGCTTTATTTAGGAGGCATCGCCTCAGGTACAGAAAATGAAATTGCCTGTTCCAGTCATAAGTTAACATGACGCGATCCGTATCTTCACGGATAAATTGGTTACACTCGCTGTTATCTCTAAGGAAATTTGTACATGTTTCGAATCTGGAAGTTCGTAGTTTGTCGCGCCCCAAAAGTAAAAGTTTGTTTAATGAGTTGGATGCCACGCCTTGATAGGGCCAACTAAGTGCTAGAAAGAAACGGTACAATGGATGGATTTCGTGTATGTCATTCGTTATGGGGCTGTGGAGATAAATTGCTTTATTTGAAGGGTATTCTGGTTATAAGAACTATACAGGACGTAAATGAAGGCTTGAACTCCTTGTTCATTAAATAAAAACGTTTTTTCTCAAACTCGTTTCCTTTTAGAATGTCAATGTTTTCTTTCTCAATTTCAGATCCCAAAATATCCTATTCTAATACTTTAGTCCGTTGCTAACAACCAGAAAACAGTACGTATACTAGAAAATTGCTTTGTCCAACAGTTGTATTTTGTGCATATTTTACCGGTTGATTTCTAGTGATTAAATCAAATTTCAGTCACTAGCGACAAATTTTTTCAGTAATAACCGCAAAACAAATAATAGTATACGCAGCGTCAGCATTGTGGTACAAAATTTTCTTCCTTTTTCCTTTCCATTTTGAGGCATTTTTCCAAACTAATGTACAGCCACTACTTGCCTGCTACCTTTTCCATTTGAATAGTTAGAAAAAGTGGTAAATTTCAAAATTTTCTTGACGGCATGCACATTACCTACAGGGTGATCGAGAATGATTGACCGTGCCGCCTCATACTGATTTTTGATGTGCGGCATACCAGTTTTTGATACCAATACTAGAATCATGAGCGCAGGTTGAGGGATTTTAATGGTAAACAAATAATTACGTTCAAACGTCAAATAAATTAGGTTACTGTCAAAAATGGAAATTCATAATAAAAATATCAATTATTTAACAAAAATCAAAGTTGTTTCACAAATTAAGCAATACTGATGGACCAATAAATGTTATTATTGTTATTATTATTAAAGAGGATGACAGAATCATTCTTATTTCATTTACAATTAGAAAAACTTTCAAATCAAAGTTTGATGTAGCTAATTTTGAATAACGACTGTAAGTGCTTCAGCGCTTTTAATTTTTAAAACGTTATGAGTTAATCTTAAAACAGAAGCACTATTGTGGCTACATTCTTGGCATCTAAGACGATTCAGCTATACAGCGATACGCTGCAAGCTGCTGTTTTTCATCAAAACAAACTGCTGTATGCTTATAAGACGACTATTTTGCAGCTACTGCTTTCACACTTCTGAATATCCAGCGCAAGCGATCCAGCCCAAAAATTTATGCTGAATATTTTAGTTAGCTGTCGAAATTCAGGAAAAGTGTCTTAAAAACA